GGCCATGGCTCACGGGCCCAGCCGCTCCGCGGCATGTGGGATCTTCCCCGACCGGGGCATGAACCCGCGTCCCCTGCATCGGCAGGCGGACTCCCAACCACTGCGCCACCAGGGAAGCCCAGGCGTGAATTTTTTGCATCTGACTATTTAAATAAAATAAAGACTTGGCGTATACTGTTGAAGACCCTTCATGTCTCCTGCCCTCTCCCACTGTCCTTCTCTCCACAGAGGCAGTCACTCCCATGAATTTGGAAGATAGCCGTCCAGTTCATGTTTTTAGATTCTTAAATACATATCTGGTTTGTTTTAAACATTTGCATGAATCTTATTATACTGTACATAGAGTTTTGTAAACTTTTAAATTTAGCATGTGTTTTTCAGGGTCTGTCCTTGTTGATATGTAAAGATACAGTTCATTGATTTTAACTACATATTAATTAATTCCATTTAATGAATTATCCAGCCACACTATTCACTCTCCTATTATTTAACATGTATATTGTCTCCAAATTACAGATAATTTTACATTGAGCACCTTTGTACTTATCTGCAGAACCTATGCTTTCCAGCCCAACGCCCATGCGTCATCCCAACACCGGGGCTGCACGTCATGAAAGGGGCTCAAGGATTGCAGAATTTCTGAACTAACCTGCCTGACTGCCGCCATCTAGTGGCAGAAGCTTGTAAATGCAGCGGCTTTTAAACACAAAGCAGGTGCCATTAGGGCCTGTTTGGAGTCCAACACTAACTTGAAAGCAAGGGATCTGGTCTTCTGTGACTGGTCCCTGCAAGAGGATGACTTCCTGGAGGACTTAAAGATAGAGGTCTCTGGTGGCTGAACATCAAGACATACAAAGTGATGCACCTCCCACTTAAACTTCTGTTTTCCTCTGGATGTAGCCCTCCCTCCAGCCCTTTATCATCTGAGCTTCTTCTGACTCATGCCTGAATGCAGAGCTATAGGGTCTCCCAGCTCCTCTTTCCTCAGTGTCTCAAAATATGGAGTTTCCCAAGGCTGCCAAAGTCATCATCATTTTGTACCCTGATCGTCCATCCCCAGTTTCCTTCAGGAGATGGTACTTAATGTGACTCCATTTTCTGAGGGTCACAACCTCTCTCCTCCCCTCAGGTAAGATTTAGATCTTTAGTTAGATCACTTTCTCTTAAAACCCTCTTCTCCATCAGAAGACCCACTCTAGGATGAAAAATAAAGAACAAAAGAGGTGGTCTTCACTCCTGAGGTCACAGACTGGGGGTTCACAGGCCTGCTCAGCAGTGATCTCCTCGGGACATTTCATTTGTAGGAGCAGAGAAATGACTTGGGCAAGATGACCTATGTGTACAGCCTATAAATTCCATTCAACATAAATCCTTTATCTCTTCAACAGAAATACTGGGGGTTAGATTACATTCCCAGTGCACAACACATGAATCTCCACTAATTTAATTTTGTACCCAGATTAGTGTCCTCTAACACCACACCAACCCCTGTGTCTACACACACACACACACACACACACACACAGACACCTCCCAACCTCTAAGGCCAGCTAGAAGGTGAGTATAAAGAACACAAACTCAATTTCATGTTGCCCTTGGCTCAGTTTAATTAGGATGAGAAATTAGATACTGGAATTAAAAGAACAGGCTGAAGTCCAGTCTCAGTAAAATAGATTGTTTTTTTTCTTTTTTAACCAGCCCTGAGTAATTTCTCATTCCACCTTTTAGCCCACTGCTCAAATGATAAAAATAATAATGGCAATCCCTGAAGATTTCTCCCTATTTTATGTCCCCAAAGCCCGTTCATCTCTACCATTCCTAATTGATCCTCACGCTTGCAAAAGAGGTCGACAGCTGAGGAAGCAGAGAGGCACAGAGCTAAATGGACTCAGCCGAGGTTAGTGACAGCCGCAGACAGCCGCTTTAAGCCAGAGGCCTGGGCGTGAAGACTTACCAAAGCCCACGGGCAGTGCTATTTGCCAGGAGCAGTCCGTGTTGCTGGGGTAGCTGCCGGGGAAGCCGGGGCTCAAGATCACTCCGTCCATGTCTTCCACTGCTCCTCCACACTGCGCTGTGACCGTGAGAGCAGACAGAGCGTTAGGACTGCAGTGAGGTGAGTATGGGGCCATACAGCATTTGGACTTCCCCAAGTCAATTTCCCTTTGAGAACCCAAAGGAACCTATAATTCATCTCCCTAAAAAACTGCAGACAAGGGCCAAACTGAGCGTGTAAATCCAGGAAGGGAAGCATCTCCTAGGTCTGCCCAGCCGTCCACAAACCCAAGTTATGGATGCTTGACCTTAAGCATGCCCTTCAAAGTCAGTTTCCTTAGTGAGGCCATGTAGCACAAGTGGTCTGCCCCAGGAGATGTGTGACCATCTCCTACACTATCCCCCAAATCTCCCTCTCCTCGCTGTCCAGTCAACTCTTCCAGGACTGAAAAATAGGAAAGAAGGGGACGGGGATGCGTTGGCACGCGGCCAGGCTCTTTACAAATACATATTCCATGGGACTGGGGGGTCAACAGAAGAGCCTCACCACGAGTCCACCCTCAGAGCATTGACACACGCCCTGAGCCAAAGTGACTGTGATTATTTCAGCCCAGAGGGGTTTGGGCATCTGAATCTCCAATCGAGGTGACTTCAGTCACAGTCACCTGAAGATGCAGGGCTGGGGCACGACTGCAGCCTGGTCAGTTGATGTCGATTCTTTCCTTTTACATCTTATTAGGAAAAGGCTGTGTGAGCAGAAAGGGGTTAGCTTGTCATGGGAGGCCACAGAAAGGAGCGGAGGGGAGGCCATATACCGTGTGTACGCAAACGCCTTCTGGGGAGAGGACTACTCGACCACACAGACCCGAAGGGATCAGTGCCCAGGTGCAAAGCGGGGACTTGGGCGTTGACCCCTGGGGTCACAATCCCAATGCTCCCACTTCCTGAGTGACTTTGGGCCAGCTCTAACTCCCTTCACCCCAAACCCCCAAACATCAGTTTCCCCCACCCAGCACTTGTGTCACAGGGTGGTTATGAGGTTACAACAGAAAGGACTTCGCCTGACTTGGAACAGTGGCCGGCACACACAGTACACCCTCAGCCACGGCAGCTGCTGTTCTATGAGCAGTTCCCCGGGCAAGACCTTTGTGATACAGGATGGGGAAAGGGCCCTGGGCTGACCAGTCCCATTTCTGACTGCTCTGCAGACGACCAGGTCTGTATCCTGGTGAGATCACTGAAGGGAAATCTCATATGCTCCGGTGGCACGCCCTTCGCTCACCTTGCCTCCTACCCGAAGGTTAGCCTAGATTTGCACTTGACAGTTGGCGGGGCACCAGGGAAACCTAGGTTTCCATTCCCAACTTATGCCACTTTCTTCTGAATCCTAAAAGCCTTAGTTTTCCTATTGGCAAAAATGAGGGTGATGACAGCTGCCCTGAAGAGCTGTGGTGAGGAGACACGTAGCTCCGTGCCCGGCATGTGGCAGACCTTCAATAAAGGGATGTTCCCCCTGCCCCAAGCTGACTAGAAGCTTCTGAGGGTGGAGATCCTATCTTTTCTTGTATCCAATGATCTCGTCATCACTACTTGGCACAGAACCAAACCAAGTCCTCGTTTCACAGGGAACCCTCAGCCTTCCTCTATCAGTGGATTCCATCTGTCTGTCCCACGAGAAGTCACAGGGGAAAGCCCAAAGTGCCCAGAGGTTCCATTTGGGGTTTGGTCGATTATCTGGAGTCAGAATGGTCATCATCAGGTTTTCGAATGGGCAAGCCTCCTGTCATGTTTCATTTGGTGGGTGAAGGTATCCAAAACTCAGGAAAATCTTGAGAGTTAAAGCTTACAAAAATCTCAGTCTAAAGTACTGCCTGTGAGCAGACCCGGAATACCAAACTTCCTTTGGAGTCGAACTTGATCCCAGCGATATGTCACTGGACTCAAAGCCCTGGTAGAAATGGATTTGAATGACCTGGAAAAGTGGGGACTCTCTTACCAATACAGAGCGGAGGAGGGTAGTTCCAGCGCCGCACGGTCCCGGGCATGCAGGAGATGTGGGCGTGGCCCTGGAGGAATCAAGAACAGGGTGGGCTAGCTGCCCCCACGGGCACAATTGCGTGTACAACCTGGAGCAGGGGGCTTGTTCTGGGGCCTTGGGTCAAGGAACAAGACACATGGATCCACTGTGGAATGGGGAGTGAGGCAGAGGGAGAGAGATCTGGGGAAGGATGCTTATTAGCGGCTATTGCTAAAGAATTCTCGTTACTAAAGGTTCCTTGTGAGACTCCTTTAATTACTAGAGTCCCTCACTGCCTTCAAAGGGAAATTAAATTTTCCTAAAGTCTAATCAAACCGAAACTTTGCAGGAACACATTCAAGGCTGGCTTGTGCCAAATGGCTAAAGTCAGCACCTTTGCCTTTTTCATGAACAGCTCCAGGAGGGGATAACAGTGCCTGGGGGATCTGGGGGGCTTCTCTCTGTTCTTTGGTGACTGCAGCTCTGCTGGGGGAAGGCCGGCTGACCCCAGCTCAGGGGACACCTTTCCGGCCCTGGGGGTCAATGGGAGGTACCTGGAGGGCATATCCCGGTTCACACTGGAAAGAGACCACATCGTTCACCAAGTAGCGCTCGCCAATCTTCACCCCGTTACTGGGCACAGCAGGTTCTGGACAACTGCTCAGGCCCACCGCTAGACCAGACAGAGACAGACAACAGGAGAATGGACAAGCCCATCAGGTGGATGTAAGAGCAGGCCGAGGGCATGGCTGGCAGCAGGGAGGAGCAGCTGCCTCCAAGATGTGTCTTCTCTGCTTTCTCTCCTCCCAACCTCTAGGCCAGGGTTTCCTAAGCCTTTCACCTCCCAGCACATGAGAAAATCAGAATGTTCATATGGCACAGAGGCTCAACAGACCAAAGCCTCCTGGGGGCAGGCAGGTATCATCTGGGGACTCTGGCTGTCCAGAGGCCCTTGGGCTCAAAACTATACAACATTGCTATCACCCCAAGAAGTTCCATCATGCTCTTCCCAAGCAACGTTTGTGCTTTTAAGAAGTGAATGTGGTGCTTGGAAATGGAAGCTGTTTGGGCCTAAATCTACAAATCCCAGCATCTGGGCCAAAAGACTCCAAGGACAATATTAAAACAATCATCAAACTGAATTGAAAGTACTTCATCTCAACTGTCATCTTGTCTCTTTTTGCCCCACTCTTCCCTGCAGTCCAAGTAGAAGGCAACTCAGTATTTAGTGGGGTGGTCACAACTTAGTAATCTGACACCTGCTTACTGGAATGGCAGTGGTAGACAGAAGGAGGACGAGGGGCAGAGAGAAAGAGAAAGCAAGAGCAAAAGCGTGTGGTGGGAGAAGAACGCAATGGGGAGAGAGGTGAGGACAGAGAGAGGAAGACAGAAGGACACAGAGAAAAGTCCATTCTAATTTCTTTACATTGCATAGCTTGATTTATTTAAGCCATGCTTACAACAAAGGAAGACTTAAAAAAATCATATGCAATTTATTACTTCTGAAAGCACATTGTTTCATTTCCATTTCAATTAAATAAATATTAAATACACAGCAGTAGACAAGACTTTTCAGTACCCTTCAAAACCATTTGCCTCTACAATAGCAGTTAATTCTCCCCTCCTGTACCCTTTGTAGATTATCTACAAAACAAACACAACTACAGGGTACTGGCTCCTAGGAATTTCAGTCTCCAAATACTAATGGAGACCTCTGTTTTCCCCTAGTTCTTTCCACTGTGAGAGGACAGTGCATGATAAACACCAGCTACTGAGAAAACTACCCATTCCTTTGAATAACAGCAACAGCAAAAAAAATTCAGAAAGGTGAATTTTTCCTGGGAATGAGGCAGTAGAATGGCAAAGAGATTTAGGAAAGTTCTATCTTTGGAACATGTAAGAAAAGAGAAGATTCTAGGGAACATTTAAGAACTCAAATTTAAATATTGGATAAGGAAACAAAACTGGAGAGAACAGAGATGAGAGGGTGAAAGGAAAAGTACGAATTATTCAAGAGCCCAGGATACTTCACCCTGCTGGGTGAGTGAGGCCTGAGAGGTCTGTGGGAGGAAGGTGTTGGAGGTCTCTGTCCTATCCTCCACCCTGCAGGGTCTTGGCCTCCAGCTGCCCCAGGGCTTTCTGACCAGCTGCCCATTTCAGTTCTTCCATGCGATGGACATCCTGGGATCCAGCTAATCCTCTCCCAACTACCCGGACAAAGCTCGTTCATTTTGAGACCAGCTGGGCAATGCTGACCCTATCTGGCCTCTAGCAGCAAGTGGGGCTTCCACCTGCCCGTCCTGTCCAAGATGGTCCAGCCAACCACACCTTCCCCCATTTCTTACTTCTCATTCCAAATCTAACTCAGGTACCCCTTCTGTAAAGTCTCACATGACCAGGGTTAGCTCCCCTCTTCTGTACACCCTTAGCGTATCAGGTTGAACTACAATTACTGTTTCCATGTCCATCTCTCCCCCTAGGCTTTGTGCTTTGTGCCTTTTTCATCTTTGTTCCATGGGCACTTAGCACAGGGCGTGCCACATTGCAGGTGTCCAGTGTTTCTTCATGACATTCACTTCTCCACCAGCCTCTGGGAGAAGTGACTGTTCTATCCTTTGAACCACCGCTGTACCTCCTGGCGACACCCCTGTGAGCACCTGGAATGCTGTCATGTCCTGCTCTGTCCACGTGTCTGCCTCTCTCCCATGGACTCAGAGGGGACTCACCCATCTTGATCTTACCCAACCCCAGCATCGCACCTGGCACATTGTAAATACCCTATAAGTAATTGCTGAATGAATGTGTGGCAAACACTGCTGCCAACATATTTTTTCCTGTACCCAGTGGGCATGGGGATGGGCAGGCCATCTTAGGATGAAAGCAGCTGCCCCAGCAACCTCTGTCTTTGTCGTCCCACAAGGCACATCTGCAGCCCTTTTCCTTTTCTTTTTTTAAAAATTAAAATTAATACAATTTTTTTTTTTTTTTGTGGTACGCGGGCCTCTCACTGTTGTGGCCTCTCCCGTTGCAGAGCACAGGCTCCGGACGCGCAGGTTCAGTGGCATGGCTCATGGGCCCAGCCGCTCTGCAGCATGTGGGATCTTCCCGGACCGGGGCACAAACCCGCGTCCCCTGCATCGGCAGGCGGACTCTCAACCACTGTGCCACCAGGGAAGCCCTAATACAATTTTTAAAGGTTACTTTCCACTTACAGTTATTATAAAATATTGGCTATATTCCCCGTGTTGTACAATACATCCTTGAGCCTATCTTATGCCCAGGAGTTTGTACCTCTCCCTCCCCCTGCAACGTTTTTTCTTTAAGAGTTTTCAGTTGTGACCACTCAGGGATGCTGGAAGCCAAGATGTAAGGTTTTGAGAGTGGGAGAGGAGTGAAGTTTGCAATGAGGAGAAGAACTTCAAGGACAGTTGCATCATTGACCAGGGGTTGGAGAAGTCAGTTTTTAGGACTGGAGGAGGAGAGAACCTCCATTGTCTCACAACCCAAATAATCTACTGGGCCCAAGCCGGTGACCCGGCCCCCCTCCCACTCCTGTGTGGACACAGAGGAAGCACACAGGTTTTTGAGGAACGGACCCTTGGGTGAGAGCCCTGGCTCCACCACTTCCTGGCTGTGTGTCTTGAGGAGGTTTCAGACCTTCTCTGAGCTTACGCATCCCCATCTAGCTTGGCGTCAGGCTTCAGTGGGGTGCAGAATATATAGCCCCAGGATAAGCCCCGCTCCTTGTGGGAACTTGGGCCCTGTCAGTTCCCACCCTGAACCCTGCAAGCCGCTGACACTCTGGATTCTCACTTTTGTACTCCAAGTGGAAGCCGGCTGCAGACACGCTGATGTCTGAGTAGAAATGCAGGTAGAGCTGGTTGGAGGTGCTGTTCAGCAGGGCAGGCACGGTCGTACCTGGCGAGGAAACAGGGACCAATCAGACTTAGCCTCTCCTCACCCCTGGGCGCCTCCCCATTTCGCCGGCTGTTGCTACCTGCTGACGTTCTGCTCCCAAGGCCCCCAGATGTTCCCAGTTACCAAACTCACTGAATGACAAATTAGCTCTCCTTAGTGTGCTGGGTCTCCAACGGCTGAGGGAGGAGAGACTCCAAACAACTTCCTGCAAAAAAGCAGTGGCAGAGCCACGTGCCAGCAGCAGGGTGACTTCCCTCAGGTGGCCTATGAGTTTGGTCCCCTTCCAGGCGTCTTCAAAGTGACTGTGACGTGGATAATTCTCTAGGCCATTCAGGCAGTGTAGACAGCTTATCTGGGGCACATGACGCCTCTTAGGTCTTGACAGCATGAAGTTCTGGGGTCTACAAGACCCAGATAATTGCCCTGACCTTTGGGCAAAATCACACACCACACTTAGAAGTCCACTGCTGGAATGGAAAGTGGTGTGGCCACTCTGCTGACAGTCCCTCAGAAGAGTTACATATAGAATCACATATGACCCAGGAATTCCACTCCTAGGTGTATACCCAAGAGACCTGAAAACATGTTCCCATGGAAACTCATACGTGAATGTCCACAGCAACATTATTCAAAATTAGCCAACAAGTTGGAAACAACCAAATGTCCATCAACTGAGGAATGGATGAATGAAATGTGGTCTGTCCACACGGTGAAGTGCTGATGTGTGCTGTACATGGTGACCCTTGAAAACGTTACACTGAGTGAAAGAAGCCACACCCAGAAGGCCATATATTGTAGGACTCCATTTTTGCGAAATGTCTGGAATGAGCAAATCCATAGAGATGGAAAGTAGCTTAGTGATTGCCAGGGAGTGCGGGGGTGCGGGACAATGGGGAGTGTGTACAGATGGGTACCTGGTTTCTTTTTGGGGTGATGAAAATGATCTGGGATTGGATAGCGGTGATGGTTGTAGAAGCTTGTGAATATACTAAAACCTGCTAAATTGTACGCTTTAAAATGGCAAATTTTATGGCATGTGAATTACATTTCAATAATAATAATAAAAGTCCACTACTGCCCTCAGAGTCCAGGTCCCTAGAAGCCCCACCTCACCTGAGAAACTCCCCAGCATGGTTACAGTGTTGTCTGCACCATCAAACACTTCCAGGGAGTCCCAGTTCTGCTCTGTGACAAAACTGACGACTTGAATCTGGAAAGGCAGGGGGATTGAACCATGGGTTAGGCAGCCCTTCCTCTTCTCCTCCCTTCCCATCTACGTGAAGGGAGGAGCACCTAGTCTGGACCCGACACTGTGCTAGGAACTCTGATAAAAATAAGATGCAGTCCCTGTCCCCCAGCAGTTCATCGTCCAGTGGCGGAGAGAGGTATGAGATGCTTGCACGGCATGGGGTACTCTGTCAGGTAGAGAACGGAGAAAGGAAAGTCCAGGCTACTTTGGTCCAGCTGGCCTCCCCCTCACTTCTCCAACACTCCTTGGGTTTCCTCACTTTCCTGTCTCCACTGCACCAGACAGGATGTCTGCTGTGAGCCAGTAACCCGTGCCTGGTTGGACCTGTCCACCTTGAGTCCCTGCGGCTCCCCTCTGTTGGCCTTGCCCGCCCCAGGCCCTCCTCCCGGCCGCTGCAGCTGTCCTGGGCCTCCTCCAACTGGCTGTCACCCCCGGGCACCAGTATGGTCCCGATTCCACTGCAGCCTCAGGCTGCGGGTGCGACCCCCCAGGTGTGCGCCGGGTGCTGTCCCTGCTTCATCTGTGCTTGCCGGCTTGCCCCCTTCCCCTCACCTGCAATGCCTCCTCTTCCATCCCCCTACACTCTGAAGAACAGAACCCTTCAAGCCGTTTGAGAAACATCTACGATTCCTCCCCAGCCTTCACACTCCAGCTCCGGGCCCACCTCCTTCTTCTGGCTTCCCTGATGGCCGAGCCAGCACCCACCCTTTGTCCTTCCTGAGCCGGGACCTGTTGTGTTTTTCTGTTTGTGGGCCTCCCCCGCACACCTGGCCTGAGGGGCAGGGACAGGCTGCTGTGTCTGCCCCCGGCACCCCCTTGGCCCTCACCTGGATGCCAGCGCCTTCGGGGACCATGATCTTCCACACGCAGTTGAGGCTGTTGAGGTACGGCTCGGGGAAGCCGGGGGACAGGATGGTGCCCCTGCGTTCCGTGAGGTTGCCGCCACAGGGCACTGGGAAGGAGGCCGCTCTGGTCTCTGTGGGTCCCCAGGGGAGCCTCCCCGGCAGACCCCTCCCAGGGCCCCCGGCCTCGCTGTGACTCCACCCCTGGCTGGCTTCCCCATGCTGGGCCCCAGCCCTGCCCCCTCCCGTGGCTCCTCCCCATACGACCCTCCTGAGGGACCTGGTTCCCGCTCCCCCGCCCCCATGTCCCTCCCCCAGCAGCCCCCACTGCTCCTCCTCGCTGTCTTCACGCCGACCCACAGGACGAGGGCTTGGCTGGAAGGGGTCCCCCTCTGAAGTCACTCTGGCCGGCGGAGCTGCTGTGTGTCTTGCTGTGTGTTGGCCGGCCACCCTCGCCCCCAAGTCCTGGTTGTCTAGGACTCACCCACACACGTTGGGGCTGAGACATTCCACTGGGCCAAGGCCCCGGGAACAGGAAGGCACTCGATTTCTGGGGAGCCCTGCAGGGCGTAGCCGGAGTTGCATTCGAAGCGGACGGTGGCGCCCACCGAGAAGTCACTGCCCAGCCTCCTGCCATAGCGGGGTTCCGGCACCGAGCTGCACTGCGTGGCGCTGGTCCGGGGCACCGCTGCAGGGGACAAGGGCGCTGAGGGGCAGGCCGCACCCCTCTAGAAACTGGTCCGGGGATGGGCACACCGGGGGGCTGGAACTGGGTGGGGACCTTGACAGGCTCTGCGTGCTTTCCCTCAGAGCCAGGGTAGGAGGCTTTCTAGGATGAGGCCCAACTTACTGAAACATAGCTAGACATACAATGTTGTAGCACAGCTTCTGGAAACCATGGGAGGCACTGTGAGCCCCCTGGGCCCAGAATTTAGGCCCAGTTGTGCTCTCTGCCTTCCCAATGAAGGCCCGTGCCCAGTAGGGTCCCATGTCCCCTAACAGGGAGAATGGCCCTTCCTTCTCCCCTGACCCTGATTTGCCCTCTTCACCCCGTGTGCCTGAAGACCCTGCCCAGGGCCCTGCTCTCATGACCTGAATCTCCCTTCCTCCTACCTACAGGGGCTAATAGGACCTTTGAACCCAGGCCCCAGGGAGGGTGTCCCAGGGGTAGGATTACCCCTGCACAAGGCAATACAGCTCATCCTGGGCGGTGGAATGAACAGGACCATTTTTGGAACCTGAGCCTTAGAAGAGTGGACGTCCTGCTGGACAGAGGGGGGCTGGGGCCTCCAGGTGGAGGCCAGGGCGCTCCAAGACTTGGCCTTTCCGGGCTCGTAAGGAAGGGAATGGACACTGATTAGCTGCTTCATGCCAGCTACTCTGTGAACTCTTTTAACGCCATCAGTGAGGTAATATGATCACCCTCATTTTACAGGTGAACAAACTGCGGCTCCAAGAGGAGTAGCTGGTGCCCAGTTAGAAAGTGACAGAGCTGGGACCCAAATCCATGTCCAACTCACTCCAAAGCCTGTGTTTTCCCCGCACCTTTACTGGGTCTTGCAGACACAACCAGGTAAGAGGCCTGGGCTGGTCTTCCCAATGCCATCAGGACTGTGCCAGACAACGGGCAGTGGGGGTGTGTGCAAATTAGCTTCCCTTCTATGATTTCTTCCCTTATCCAGCATGGAGTTTGGTCCAAGAATTGTCTGTTGGGTACATGAATGTATAACATTCAACTGAATTTCAGGGAACTGCCCCACAAACCCGTAACTGCCCCCAAACACCCTAAGAATGAGGCTCAGACTAGGGGGTCAAAGGTCCCTGTTTTCTCTGAAGAACTGAGACTGCCTTCACACCTCCCACGTCCACGTCCTGCATACCTTGGTAGACAAAGTGGAAGCCTCTGGCTGGAACTTGGCCTTTGGCACTGAACTTAATGAGGACTTGATTGGAGGTGGCCAAGGGCAGCGATTCTCCTGCAGAGATAAGGGGCAAGGAGGAGAGGAAGACTGTGAGTCCAGCAGTCGGGCCTGGCGGGTAAAATCCTGGCCAGGATGGAGGGGCTGCGCACAACCCACACAGCAGCCCCTTCCACCTCCCAGGTCTTCCTAAAATGAAACCTCACATTTTTACTGCAAGTTATAGTTTAAAGATTACAGAAAGCTTTCACATCCGTGGTCTTAATGTTGACCCATGTCAATGTGAGGTTGGCTTTCAGTACCTGCAGTTTTTAGATCAAGAAAGATAGGTTCAGATCAAATGACCTGCTTGGAAAGGAGAAAGCTTCTGAAGATGTGTTGACCCACATGGATGGGAGGAGAATGGCCATTACCAAACTGACTGGTGGTTTACTTGGAAAACTGATATTAATCTGATAAAAACAAACAAACAAAAAAGGCACCAAGTTCTGGAAAGGAGGGTGACGTAATCACTGGAGAGTAACTGGCTTTTCCCAGATGCCCTGTGAGATGATTGACAACCAGAGTGATCATATAATTTATTGCTCATACTAGGACACTTCCGAGAGTCAAAGGGCATGCTATTAATAAGTATGCTGGGACAACCAAGTGAAAGCTGGGACTATCCCAGGCAAAGCAGGGTGTATTGTCACCCAAACAATAACACAATAAAGTGGGGAAAGTCCACACAGACACAGGAAGCTAAGGAAGCCCAATAGCTTCTATATCAGAAGATAAAGATATATCTTCTGTTTGATGTGGTACAGACAGACCTGCAGCCGTGAGGTGGAGTCCTGCTCACCATCGCCTTCCTGTGGAAGCTGAGGGAGAATGTGGGGTGATGGGCAGTGGCATGACCACTCTGCATGCTGCCCCTCCATAGCCTTAGGGACCCCTGGGACTATCTGCTGACCCCACCGTCAGAAGGGAAGTGGGGGTTACAGAAAGCCAGGCTACATCACTTCAGGGAGGCTTGGAGTTGGAACCACCCAAGGAGCCGTTGGGAGGCACATCTGGGGTCCACCAGTGCTTCCAAAAAGCCCATGTGATGCTACTGGCCATGGGGATTAGAGAGCCTTTTTCACAACACACTTAGATTTACATAGATCCCAGGTGGCTGAGCCTAGGAGTCACTGCCCAGCTAAATTCTGGCTGCCAAAGCAAAAAGAAACTCATGAAGAAAAGCTTTTCTTGATTTTCACCACCATCTCTAGTTCCTCCTCTCAATAAATGTGAGCAGAACAAACTCAACTTTTCCATTTTTCCATCATCTGGCCGGATACCTGTGGAGTAGGACCCCCCCGTAATCTCTCACAGGATCCATTTCAACTCCCAGTGATGGACGTATGCAGCTTTCCCTCTCCAGGAATAAACACACAGTAAAATCACTGGACATAAGAAAAGATTCCAAAGTTTTAAGGTAGGAGACCTCTCAGAAGTCAAAGCAAGTATCTTTATGTGAACTACAACAAAGAACAGGTAAAAATCTCAGAAGATTTTTAATAGCGGTTGTCACAAGATTAAATTCAGCATTGCGTCTCTGAAATTAGAGGAAGATGTGTCAAAGGACAGATCTGAGATCAGTAAAAGCTACAAAGAGATGAGAAACTCTAGCACATGGAGCTGGATTCTGCAGAAATTGAACAGCAAAGTGGAGATTAAATTTGGGAAATTCTTCCGGAATCCACAGAAAAAGGATAAAGAGATTAAACTAATGAGAGAAATGACAAGTGACATGGAAGACAGGCAGAAAAAAAATCCAATATGCATATATCAAGAATTCTAGAGAGAGAAGACAAGAGAAATTGAACGAGAAAAAATAATTTAAGAAGGAAGACAACTTTCTAAGCTTGAGAAAGGCTTGAGGTTTTTGAATGAGATTGTTCACAAAGTGCCGGATCTAATTAATGAAAAGAGATTTCCACCACAACAATCCTCGTGGGCTTTTCCATTTTAAAAATAAAGAAAAAAATGTGAACGGTTTTTAAAAGAGAAAAGCGTGGGTTGCCTACAAGGACAAAGAATCAGGTTGAATTTCAACTCATCTATAATATTAACTATTGGAATAAAGTAACCACTGCAGCTTTGAAATGTTTGTGGCCCATAATCTGATTTATAATCAGGTTGTCATTTATATGATACATCAAAGGAAAGGCATTCTCATACATGCAAGGTGACAGAAAGTACTGCAGTGAGGAGCCCTACTTTTAAAAAACGAACCAAAGTAGGGAAATCAAAAACTATCAGGGATAAAGACAACTAGGAAAATATAGTTAAACCCAATTAATTATTGTTAAAGAGGGAACAAAACTAAATGCAAATGGAAAAACTTGTTCTTGGGGAAGAAGTCCATAATTATAAAATAATTACTAATAACATTGATAAAGTCCAAATGTATCAGCAAAGCTTGGAAATTAGAGATGGGTCAGGTACGAATGGAAACGTGAAGAAGCAAAAGCAAAACAAAACAAACAAAACCCCAGAACGAACAAAACAAGGTGACAGATAGCAGGCCACGTGTTTCACTTATAAGTAAACTTCCTCTTAAAAGAAAAAGACTCTCAAGGAAAATGAGAAAAGATAAATCAGGCAAACACAGATACAAAATTGTTAGAAACACAGGAAGACAACAAAATATCACAATTGCGCTGGCAGACACTTTCACACAACATTCTCATTGATACATAAATAGAAAAACAAAAGGAAGACTGTTGAGTTGTGGTCTTTAAGCTTTTCTTTTTCTCCCCCAGCCCAGCCTCAGGGACAGGGACACAGTTCACTCCCATCAGCACCAAAGGATCATCATCAGTGTTTCTCTATATGAGGAGTAAGAGGTGATCTGAGGATATTGATATTAATGTATATAGGTCCTATACTTCTATTTCTCTATCCATCTATCTATCCATCCATCCACCCACCTATCAGTCATCTATCTCTATCCCTATTTGTTTCTATTTCTATTGGTCGTTTACATTTCTATCTATCCCTATACCTATATCCATATTTATATCTACAGGTCCTAAGTGTATACCTATCTCTCTACCTGTACCTATGCTTATACTTCTATATCTATGGATATACTTATATCTATCTATCTATCAAGAGATTTTGAAAAAGCACCTTACCCTCCAAAATCCTGATTTACACTCTTGGATGAGTGTGTATGTGTGGGGTGTTCCATTTCATTGAGAACCACTGATATAATGGGTTTGAATAATAAAAATGAGTAAGCCTTGGACTTCCCTGGTGTCACAGTGGTTGAGAGTCCGCCTGCCAATGCAGGGGACACGGGTTCGTGCCCCGATCCGGGAAGATCCCACATGCCGCGGAGCGGCTGGGCCCGTGAGCCATGGCCGCTGAGCCTGCGCGTCCGGAGCCTGTGCTCCGCAACGGGAGAGGCCACAACAGTGAGAGGCCCGCATAACACACACACACACACACACACACACACAAAATGAGTAAGCCTTATCTAATGGCTATTACAAAGCTTACTGAATCCTAACAGTAAATCTAGGAGGTAGAAGTTTTACTTTTTGCACTTTGCACATGAGGAAACTGAAGCTCGGAGTGGCCAAGGATTGTGACGGCAAGCACCTAGCATGCAAGTTGGAGAGTTGAGATTACAGACCAGGCAGTGTGGCCACAGGGCCTGAGCTCACCCCTTCTCTCCACGTGGACTCTCTACGCAACAGAGAACACACATTCTTCTCGGATAATTAAGGAATTAAAAAAAATGTCCTTGGCTACTGAGAGGACCTCATTGAATCCCCAAAGTAGAAATGGTACAGGCTGCATTCTCTAACTACCTGGCAATGAAAATAGAGATTAACACAAATGTTTAAATGTAACGGGAACAAAATCCAGGTTCTTGGGGAAAAAGAAGAGACATCCTTAAACAACTCTTGGGCAGAAAGAGTAAATCATGATCATGGGTTATTGAGAAAGTAATGACGATGAAAATAGTACATATCAAAATTTATGGCATGAAGCCAAAACTACGCTTAGAGGTGAATATATATATGCTGTAAACATGCTTCTTTATTACACAGAGAAAATAAACAAAACTCTCAATTCAAAAAGTTACAACAAGAAGAATAAAATAATCTGAAAAAAAGGGGAGACGTTATGAAACAAAAGCGGGGTTCAGTTAATTATAAAACAATAACAAAGTCTACAGGAGAATTGATAAGTTGAATATAAAACAGAATGAAGCCAACAAAATGAAACAAACTAAACAATATAAAACCTCTGGTCCAGCTGAGAAGGGCAACTATGAATATACCATTCAGTCTGTGGAGCTTGTTATTATTTTCTAATTAATTAACCTCTGCTTTTGTTTCATGACATCTCTCCTCCTATTTTTCTTCAGATTATTTTGTTCTTCTTGTGTATAACCACTAATACAAAAGAGATTAAACATCATCATAGGATATTATGTAAGCGATGGTGTTACATTTAAAGTAACCACAAAATAGATTTTTTTACTGACGTATAAAATATTAACATTGATGTTAAGGTAATATACCTGACTAGACCAATAACCATGGAAGAAAGTAAAAGAAAAACTACTGAAAAGAGATAAAATAATGAGACAAATTTATTTTCAGATGACATCGCTTCTTGCCTAGAGGACCCAGGAGAATCAGTTGGCAGTGTTAGCATTATTATGGAGGGTTCAGTGACTTTACAACATGAATATACCTCAAATATCAGTCTTCTAATATACTAGCAAAGACCACTTAGAAAATATAATGGTGGGGCCGGCAGGTGATGCCGGGGGGAGACTCATTTACAGTAGCAGCAACAAAAATTCCACAAAATATCTAGAAATAAAGTTAACAGAAAATGGATACTGCCTAAATGAAAATTATAGCACCTTTCCAAAGGTGTTTTTTGTTTGTTTCTTTCAAAAGATAATAGAGAGACATACCATATTCCTAATGGGAAATAGAGTTACTATTATAAACATGTGAGTTCTCCCCCAATTAATCTATAAGTTTAATGGAATTCCAATGAAAATTCCAAGGCAATTTTTTTAACTTGATATAATATTTCTAAAAGTTATTTGGAAGCAAAATTAAGCAAGAATAATCAATAAAAAATTCAAAATCAAGAATGACAATGGGGGGCTTCCCTGGTGGCGCAGTGGTTGAGAGTCCGCCTGCTGATGCAGGGGACACGGGTTCACGCCCCGGTCCCGGAAGATCCCACATGCCGCAGAGCGGCTGGGCCCGTGAGCCATGGCCGCTGAGCCTGTGTGTCCGGAGTCTGTGCTCCGCGGCGGGAGAGGCCACAGCAGTGAGAGGCCCATGTACCGCAAAAAAAAAAAAAAAAAAAAAAAGAATGGCAATGGGGACTTACAGAACCATATGTTTAAAATTATTATAGTGTTAAACATTATTATAATGTTACACGAATTAAAGCTTTTTGATACTGATACAAGAATAAACAGAGGAGTCTAGAAACATACCTTTAACTTTATAAAAACTTAATATATGTGAATCTGGCATTTTGAAAATTTCATTAAAACAACTGATTAACTAAATTTGCAAGATGTTGGTTAGGTGTTCCCTAGTTTAAATAATAAATCAAAATAAATTCCAAAGGTATTAAAAGAAAAAATGAAACTAAAACAGAAGTAAAGGAAAACCCAGAGGAATATTTATTTAGTCAGCAGAAAAGTAGAGGAGAAAACTATAACAGAAAACATTAATAGATTTAATATCATGGGAAACTTAGATTTTCTGACATTAAAACCTAACCTGAAGAAAATTAAATGGCAAATGACAAACTACAGGGGAAGATTTTTCATAGCATATACTATAGATAAGAGGTTTTTATGGCATTTAATATATATAGCTTCTAATAATATGGAGCTCTACTAAATACATACAAAAATAATTTACAAGTAAATTCACAAATAAAAAATTCATGGGCCAATAATTACATTATACAAGGTTAACCTAAGTTGTAATAAAAAAGGCAAATTAAAAAATGAGATACCGTTTTCACTTTTCAAACTGATGATGTTTTTGTTTTCTTAATTACCTAGGTTTTGTGAGAATAAAACGTGCCCTCTTTCTTTTTGAAAAATATCTTTATTGGAGTATAATTGCTTTACAATATTGTGTTAGTTTCTGCTGTACAACAAAGTGAGTCAGCTATATGTATACATATACCCCCATATCCCCTCCCTCTTGAGCCTCCCTCCCACCCTCCCTATCCCACCCCTCTAGGTGTTCACAAAGCATCGAGCTGATCTCCCTGTGCTGTACAGCAGCTTCCCACTAGACATCCATTTTACATTTGGTAGTGTATATATGTCAGTGGCACTCTCTCACTCTGTCCCAGCTTCCCCTTCCCCTACTGTGTCCTCAAGTCTGTTCTCTGTGTCTGCGTCTTTATTCCTGCCCTCCCACTAGGTTCATCAGTACGGGTTTTTTAGATTCCATATATGTGCGTTAGCATAAGGTACTTGTTTCTATCTTTCTGACTTACTTCACCGTGTATGACAGACTCTAGGTCCATCCACCTCATTACAAGTAACTCAGTTTCGTTCCTCTTCATGGCCAAGTAATATTCCATTGTATATATGTGCCACATCTTCTTTATCCATTCGTCTGTCGATGGGCATTTAGGTTGCTTCCATGTCCTGGCTATTGTAAATAGTGCCGCAGTGAACATTGGGGTGCATGTGTCTTTTTGAATTATGGTTTTCTTAGGGTACATGCCCAGTAGTGGGATTGCTGGGTCATATGGTAGTTTTATTTTTAGTTTTTTAAGGAACCTCCATACTGTTCTCCATAGTGGCTGTATCAATTTACATTCCCACCAACAGTGCAAGAGGGCTCCCTTTTCTCCACACCCTCTCCAGCATTTATTGTTTCTAGGTTTTTTGATGATGGCCATTCTGACTGGTGTGAGGTGATACCTCATTGTGGTTTTGATTTGCATTTCTCTAATGACTAGTGATGTTGAACATCTTTTCATGTGTTTGCTGGCAATCTGTATGTCTACTTTGGAGAAATGTCTGTTTAGGTCTTCTGCCCATTTTTGGATTGGGTTGTTTGTTCTTTTGTTATTGAGCTGCAAAAACATGTCCTCTTATTTGTTGGTGAACAAAATGGTTAAGAACTTTCTGGAGCGATATTTGACAATCTTTATAAAAAGCCTTAAAGATCACACATTTCCTTTAACTTAGCAATTCTACTTCTAGATATTCTAAGGTAATAGAGATGTATACAAAGATATATGTATACTATACTGAATTACTATTCATGAGAGTGAAAAATAAGAAAACAATCTAAATGTTCAATAATAGAGAATTCATTACATAAATTTTAAATAACTATATGATAGACTTTTATGCAGCATTTAAAAATCCTATTACAGAGGAAAATAAAAAAAGAAATGCTCACAATGAACATTTTAATAAAAATACGTATATTGTTGTGTTCAATAAAAAATGTAAAAGATTAAGTCCAAGTAGATATAAAGACTGGAAGGAAATACACTCCACCTTTTCAGTGGTTCTTTCGGGGTGGTTTTTATTTTAATTCTCTACACAATTAATTTGTCTTGCCGCTAAGTTTTCTACAATGAAAGTGCAACATGTTTATCATTAGAAAAACAGGTTGGGTCTCAATATCAACCCACAGGGGAATGCTATACCACTTGGGGGCGTGTAGACACAGCTTGGGGTGAGGGTAGCCTCTGAAGCTTCCTTCTATGTGGTGTCATGAGGAGCTGACAGCAGCAGCGTACGACAAACACAAAGGTGTGGCTCCACCGTGGCCACGCCCTGCTCACAGGGCCTCCCTCCTCCTTCCCCGCGACGCCCCGCCCACCACCCTCACCGTGCTGGCCCAGCCCTGGGTACCTGTGTGGGAGCCCGAGAGGGAGCCGAGGAGCTGCGAGTGCGGGTTGTGGCCGTCATGCACCTCCACCACGTCGTTGAGGGCCGTGTAGAAGAAGGCAAACTGTCCAAACACCACTGCGGAGGAGACACGGTGCAGAGAGCTCAGGGGCAAGGCTGGGCGGCCGTGCCGGGGGGGAGCCCTGGACAGCTGGAGGAGCAGGGCGACCTCAGAGGAGGTTGTCGGTTCATAGGGCTAACTGCTTGCTGAGCCATTCCACTGGCTGATTAGACACTGGGCACAGGGATGCGGGGACCTGGGAAGGATCGGGCTGGCATTCTCCACGCAGGTCAAGATGATATTGTGGACTGCACGAGCAGCCAGGCTAACCCTAGTCCTTTCTCAAGTTGCAGTGGAAGCAGCTACTCTAGGAAAACGAAGAGCTTTCCGTAACTTCCCCGTGTTCCATGTTGATCTCAGGACCCTGTATTTTCCTTCACTTTTTCTTCGAAGATCCAGCCAATGAGGGCATCCCCTGGATACAAGATCCCACACATTTAAGAGGCATGAGGGTGCTGAGTAGCAGCCTTCTCCTGAGGAAGGAGCAACTGTCCATGGAAGAGGCAAACATCTCTACCTCATTTCCCTCTGGCAAATCCAAGGACAGAGGCAAAATGACATGTATTGAGCACCTACTCTGTGCTGGGTACCATGCTTGCCATGCACGTCATCTTCTTCAACACTGACTCTTCCAGATATCTGATTTTATAGACAAAGAAACTGAAGCTCAGAGGTTGAGTTCCCCAAGGCCACTCAACTAGCTCATGGGAGGGGGTTGAAAAACTGGTGGACCATGACCTCAAGGAGTCCCCTTTCAGACAAGACCTAAGGGCCCTGCCCTTTGATGGCTATCACAGGGTCTTTCCTCAACTGTCCCATCTCTGCCAGTCACTGCTGGAGAGGCTGGGGTTACTGACCCTGCGGGGCCATGGGGGGCACAGCTCCATTTCAGACCCTGATACATTCTGCCTGCCCCGGTCTCCCATTTGGCTGGGTGCATAAGAGACAGTCCAAAGTGAAAAAAAAAAAAACAAACCACTTAAGCAAATAGATAAACAAAATAATTTCAGATAGTGTTACATTTTAGAGGCAGTGAGAGAAAAGTGATAAGGCAAGGCAGTCCACTTCAGATAGGGGGTCAAAGAAAGATCTATGAGGAGAGGGTGTTAAGGCTGAGACACAGGCTGGGGACAAGTATTTCCGACCTGAGGCAAAAATCTGCACCTAAATCCCTGGGCTTAGCATCAGTAAAAAAGAGAAGATGCTTGGGACAGATCACGACCCCTCCTAGAGTCAGCTCTCCACATACAGGTTCCAGCTCAGTGAAACTGCCCAGCCTCGGGGCTGGCGGCCTGCAAAGGCGTGAGCTCTTTATTACTGGAGGAATTTTGCAGCCCAGCTATCGAGGACTCGGCTCTGGGTGGCAGGTGGGACTGGACAACCTTTCAGTACTTTCCTAACTGTGATCCTACAGGTCCAAAGCTCCCGCCACATGCATGTGCCGGGGAGCGTGTGCCCCCACACACGAGTGTGCAGGTGCTGGTGTGGGAGTGGAGCCCGACGGCAAGAGCTGTGGGTAAAGATGAGGCTGGGAATTTACAGAGGGCAGAAAACACGTCTCTCTCATCTCTGCAGCTCTGGTTCCCAGCAGAGTGCGAGGTCCCTAGGAGGTGCTTAATAAATGTTTGGTGAATGATCAGGCCTTGCCCCATGCTCGGTCCATCCTAGCTCTTGGGAAAAAGCAGCCAGTTCTCTGCAGGCTGCCCCATCTCAGATGGTCAGGATATATATACATGACCTTTACCCCACTAATGCCAACTCTGTTTAGAAATAGTTGTTCCTCTTCCTACAAAGAGGAGATCCAGGGAGAAAGCGGCCCGGCCAGTCACTGATTGCCCGGGTACCACCAGCCTGTGACCCTCAGGAACTTCCTGAATCCTCCAGAGCTGCCAGGACTCTTACCTGTCCCACTGCTAACCAGGTGACAAGGCTGGCTTCTTTTTGCCGGGGCCTCTTGGAATCTGAAGGTTTCTCTGCCTTTCCAGGGCCCTGACCTGCTGCTCTCTTTTTTTCTTGCTCATCCTACCAATTGCTGCTGGACCAGGCTCCCGCTCACAGACGGAACAGTGGAATGAAGGGGCGCCCAGCTCCCTCACCTGTACGTTCAAGTCCAGCTCAGTCCCACTCCTTTCCTTCTTCCTGGCGCTCCGCCACCCTCCCCTGGGTTCCCGGTCGGCCTGGGTCTGCAGCACCTCTATGCAGACCCGGGCTGGGCTAGGAAGCCCCCGGTGCACCCTGCCTTCCCTCTGTCCTGGTTGGTCCCTCCCTAACCACCCCACCCTTGGTTCCAGCAGGTCTCACTGGTCCCTTCCTCCCGTGTGTATCAGGAGCGTACTCTACAGCCCACTGCAGAGCAACGGCACGCAGCTGTCCTCTGAGGGAGGCTGCTCGGCCCATTGGCACGATAGGAGTGGAAACAATTTGGAGTGGAATTGGAAGGCGTTGGAAAACATAAACAAATATACACAAAATCCATACCGTAGTCCTTGGGCACGGTGACAAAATACAGGCAGATCTGTCCACTGGTGTAGTTCTGGGGGTAGTTAGGGGACAAGACCACTCCATCTGAACCCACATACTGTCCCCCACAGGGGGCTGAAAAAGAAATCAGGTAGAGGGCCAGGTGACCTCATGCGCCTCTCATCAGCTGTCCACCCTCCGTCTCTGCCCACTCTCAGCCTGACCTTCTGGCCCTGGTGGGGCTGCTCTGAGGTCTGAAGCCACTAATGTGGAGGAGGGGAATTCTGGGGACATGCCCTGCCCTGCCCCGCCCTGCCCAAAGACATCCATCCCTGGCCTGGCATGTGGCCTGAATCCCCCCACCACCCCCGATGCTATCAAAGGCCCTCCTGGGTGCCGGCCAGTCCTTGTCCTCTAACTAGTGACACTGGCATTGGTCCCTGGAGGCCCAGCCTTCGGGAGCACTTTAGGAACCTCTTCTGCCTACAGGTGGGACCCGGAGATGGTCTGCCACCCCACGGCTGATGTCTGCACCTGGACACTTAGTGTCTGCACGACTAAGGAGCAGAGGTTTGCCCAGAATAGCCCGCTGGGAGCAGACAGCTCACGCGACCCAGCCATGGTCCCAGTCCCACGAGGGGTGGACCTCAGAGCCAGCCTCTCCCACCTGGGCAAAGGGGCCTCTTTACTTTTCAACTTAGGTGGCTGCCATGCTCCTGAAGTTCCGGCACTCCATCCGATCCCTTTTGTCAAGACCCCATGGCTAACCCAGCTGCCCTTGGAGTTAGCCCACCCTGCTGGTCCTAGTTTTACACATCTGAACCCTCAGTGATTTCCCCTAGGACCGGGAACAATCTCAGGGTCACTTTTAGATTCCCCTCTCCGTGGTGTGGGCTGCTGGCATGTCTCGGGCCACCGCTGAGGATATCTATTGGAGTGGGGGTGAGGACACTATGTGATCTGAGAGACATGACACATTGACGGGGACTGGTACACCTGGGGAATTTCCAGCCCTTCTCATTCATGGCGAACCCAAGGAGCCCTCCTGTGAGGCCCATATCCTGCCTGCCCCTTCCCCTAGCCTCCAGCCCCTTCTGCCTCTGGCATTCCCTAGTTCCCTCCACCACAGCCCTGGGCTCCACCACCTGTGCACACTGGCTGGGGATGATTCCACACAGGCTTCCCATCAGGCCCCAGGATGCAGCTCAGGGTGGAGAAGCCCTCCACCTCATAGCCCCCCTGGCAGTAGTAGGTGATGGAGGAGCCCAGCTTCAGGTCGGACCCCACTCGCGTGCCATTCTTGATGGGACCAGGATCGAAACATGACTCCCGTGGGTTTTCTGGAAAAAACAAACAAACACGTATATACACACACAGACACATATACACAGAGAGCTCATAAGTGGCCTAATCCCAGGGCACAGTACCTATGGGGAGACCCTGACTCTGATTAGCCACAGAGCGCATGGGGATTTGGGGCCGATGGGTGTATTCTCTTCAGGTCTGGAAACCTCTCTAAATTTGGTTACAGACTAGGGCTGGAGAATGAAATAATGCCATTTGCAGCACCACGGGTGGACTCAGAGATTTTCATACTAAGTGAAGTAAGTCAGACAAAGAAAGACAAATATCGTATGATATTACTTACATGTGGGATCTTAAAAATTATACAAATGAGCTTATTTACAAAACAGAAACAGACTCACAGACTTTGAAAACAAACTTATGGTTACCAAATGGGAAAGGTTCATGGTGGGGGGATAAATTAGGAGTTTGGGATTAACAGATACACACTATTACATGTAAAATAGATCATCTACAAGGACCTGCTGTATAGCACAGGGAACTCTACTCAATACTCTGTAATAATCTATATGGGAAAAGAATCTGAAAAAGAGTGGATATATGTATATGTATAACTGAATCACTTTGCTGTACACCTGAAACTAACACAACATTGTAAATCAACTCTACTCCAATACAAAATAAAAATTAAATTAAAAATTAAAAAAAAAGAAAGAAACTAGGGCTGGAAGTCATTTTGGAGAGTGCAATCTCCCTCTTCTCCCCGCATTCTTGCCCTGACGCACAAAGGAGGGAGTTGCGGCTACACCTTTGAGGCAGTCCCTCACCCCTGATTCACTCCTCCCACCGGGGAGGCGCGTGCTGCTCTGACCGGTGGGAGATGACAGTCCTAGGATCGTGTCTCAGTAGTGACCGGGTCCCTGTGGTGAAGGTCAGGGCTTAGGCACAGTCCCCCTTTGCTCAGCTTTGATCCTGCACACTCAACATGGCGGCCTCCTGGTTTTCTGTCTGTGTGGGAAGCAGGGACGCTTTTGGAGATGCTTTTTCTTCTCTTTCTTTTGCTGAGAGCGGTGTTGCTGGCTGGGTAGGTAGGTGGAGCTGACACCAGCTTTGCAGGCTGTTATAGCCATACCTTGCAGGCACTTCTGAGTGTATGGGTACTGATATTTAGATTTAGGAAGAAAGTAGGAAACCCCATTTTAGCCTCTGGGATGAGTCCAGATCTCCAATGCAGTTTTCCAGGGCTTTGCGTTGGGGTACTGAGCGTTTGCCAGATTATTAAAACAGCAGTATTTTTCCGTTTGACTACTGATGCTTATATGTCTTCCCAATCAGGCATACCACGGCTGCACCTACGCTGCATCCACTCTGTCCCTGGGCACTGGACAACAGTGAACTTGATGCTTCCTGAGCCACTGAGAGTATTAGCTGGGGCTCCAAGTCTCTGGAGAAGGACACTCACTGCACAGCCTCCCTCCCCAGCAGCTGGAAATCCCGAACAGCTCTTGGGAGCCAATGTTCACATCCATCCACTGCTGCCTTTCCTCATCCTCCTTCTTCCCGAACCACTGATGGTCAAGAGGCCTGTCGTCAGGGCTGGGCAGTGTCAGGAGAATGCAACAGAGTATCAGGATACCATCGAAACCCTGGAGGCTATGCTGCGGAAGGGTCTAGAGATGGGGATTCACAAAGAGGTGCCGACAGCCCTTGCAGAAGGAACCAGAAATTCAAAGAGCAGATTTAAGGAGGAAAGACCCAGAACACAAGGGATCAGAGTTCAGAGATGAACAGGTCAGGAGGAATTTTGCTGAGGTCTGTCCTTGTCACCTGGGTACCTTTAAGCTGCGTGTATAAGAGGCAGTCATAGCCTTGAGGGTGTTTCTCAGCTGTCAGTCAGCCCGTTGACTGATGGGATGGGACTCAGTCTGTGATCCAGTCAAGTCTAGACACCTGCATTTGCGCCCTGAGGGTGGGATGGCCCTGCTCGTTGCTTTTGCCTAGAGCTTATTTAGGATGGAGCAGTCCTGGATACATTACTAAATTTAAACTCAAGTGGGACCCAGAAAATGGCTCCTCACCTAACAGAGGACCCCTCAGTGGTTTCCTCATGTGCCCTGTCATGTATCACCTTGTCCCCCACATCAAATCTGTCCTCCCCCAAAGCGTAGTGGCTCTGGCCAGAATGCAACTGACCATTGGGTGGCCCATTTGTGAATTGCAGAGATACAGGGAAGTGTCACCAGGTCTTCTATTTCATCTGTCTTTTTTATAAATTCAGAGTGGGTCAAATCTTATTTGAAGTTCAGAAAAATTAAGTAACTTGGAACCAAGTTCACATAGCTCATAAGAGGCAGAACAAGCTGTGGCCCTCAATATCCATCCCCCCACTTCATCCTTATAATGGAACCCAGGTTTTATCCAGAGTATCAAAGCCCCAGCTAAGATAAATACCTTCCAGCCTCCCAGGCAGCTAGATCTGGCCAAAGAGAAGTAAACAGTCAGGTCAGGTCATTGCCTTCCGTCTCACTTAGAGTAAAAGCCCAAATCCTTACAAGTCTACAAGGCCCTGTACCTTCTGCCCCAGTCCTCCCCTCTATGACCTTGATTCCTATGGTCCCTTTGCTAGCTTTGCTCCAATCACATTGACCTCTGCGTACAGAACATTTCCCCATCCGCACGGCTCCCCTGTTACCTCTTTTAGGACTCAGCTCAATGACACTTCCCTGATCAGCTCTTCACAACTGTGATGTTCCTCTCCCCAACACTCCCCATCACACTTCTCTGTTTTATTTCTCTGCAGTGAGGTCAATATTATCTCGTGCACCAGATAGCTACCTTATTTTCTCTATCTCCCTCCACTAGAATGTAGGTTCCACGAAGGCACTTTTCCAGTCTTGTTCATTGCTGTGGTCCGGTGCCGGGCATATGATTGGCACTCAATAAATATTTCTTAAATGGTTACGTGTGGGACTTCTAGAAAGGCTGCTTAAGGGAAGGTGACTCAGGTGAGAGAATGCTCAATGACCCTTCTTACTTTCCTCCCTTCCTCCTTCCCACAGTTTGGAACACAGACATGATGGCTGGACCTCCAGTCACCATCTTGGATGCTGAGATAACCCTGGGGATGGGAACCACGCAGCAGGGTAGAGCAGAAAGACAAGGGGAGCCTAGGTGGAGCCACTTCGACAGCCCTGGATGACAATACCCAGATTTCTTTTACAGGAAGAAGAATGGACTTCTACCTCATATAAACAACTGTGCTTTTGGGTACCTGGCACACTAGCATACCCAGCTGGGTATGACTGCCCCGAACTTTACACTGTGTCAGAAAGTCCTTTCCTCCCTTCTCTGTGTGGCAAACTCCTACACTTGTCAGCGCCACCCTCTCCTAAGCCAGTGTCCCGAACGTTGCCTTCTCTCTGGCAGAATTCCATTTCTCTGTTTTTGATTATCTTGGTAGCTTGTCTAAGGGTATTTCTTTCTAGTGGGTTCTGAACTCCTAGAGGACAGATTCTTCTCATGACCCTGGCAACTAGCACAGAACTTGGCACTAGGGCTCTATCTGGCGCATAATAGGAGCTTAATAAATGGATACTGAGTTGCTTGGCTGAAAAACTCCGGGCTTAGAAAATCAACAACCACATCAATGATCCGACTACAGATTCTATTCTACCATGGCTCACACGTCAGAGCAAGATGAGCTCATCATTCCAAGCATCATCCCATTAATAACAACGACAAGGCTAATGATAACGATGACAGCCCCTTACACAGGAATATCACTTCGTAATTTTCAAAGCACTTTCCAGTCTGTTATCTTATTTGTGTCTCACAATAGCCTTTGAAGCAGGCAGGGCCAGGTACGCTTCTGTTCCGGTTATAGATGGGGAATGTGGTGATCAGAGAGGCTAAATGAGTTTTCCAAGCCATTCAACTATTAAGAGGTAGAATTAAACCCAAAATCAGGTCTTCAGGCTGCCAAACCAGGGCTCAGCTGTGAATGATAAAACTAAATGACTAAAAAAAGCATGATGATAATAATAAATAAGCCCCAAGCCCTCCAAAATGGGAAAATAAAAAGAACTAGATTCTTTTTGCCCTAATAGATAAGGCCCATTTCCAAACACCGTAACAGCAAAATACTGAAAATAACAACCCAAACAGTAAGGAACTTGTTAAAAAGGTTGGATTAGAGCCATCCACTGAAATATAAGCAAGCTTTGAAAAGAATAGCAAACGTCTTTGACTACTAATATGGAAAGATGCCCAAGATCTATTGCTGGGCAAAACCCAAGACAAAGCAAAAAAAAAAAAACAAACAAACAAAAAAACAAACCCAACCCATGTTACAGTTTAGTATATATGGTGTGATCCCCATTCATATAGAACAGGGATCTGCAAACTACAGTCCACTGACTCGCTGCCTGTTTTTGTAAATAAAGTGTTACTGGAACACAACCATACCCGTTTGTTTAACACATCGTCTATGTCTGTTTCAGCATTACAACAGCAGAATTGATAGCAACACAGACCGTCTGGTCTGCTAAGCCAAAAATATTTACTCTCTGGTCCTTTACAGAAAACGTTTGCCAACCTCTGGTATAGAATGTACGTTATTTATATGTATATAAAACATCTGGAATGAGGTAACAAACCATTAATATTGGTACTTCAGGGGATGGTAGTATTGGGAGATGTTAAGCTTTTAGAGCACAGTTTATATGCTTCTGTATTATTTGAATTTTCCCAACAAACATGTGTTACTTTGAAATAAGCATAAATGAAGAGATCTTGAATTTAGAAAGACAGGCCATGGGAGAGCTGGGTGGTGGGAGTAGTCATGGCAGGAGCAGATGTGGAAAGCCGGTGGTAATTCCTCGGCCTACAGTGTTACTTCCAAGGGCTTGAAAGAGAAAATAGGTACCTTTTAGTACCTTTCAGTAAAAGTTGACTCATCTTGGCCTCTCCTGAGTTATTTCAGATTCTCTAACACTTGCTTTGAACTCTTCATCCCTCTGTCTGAAACCCTTCCCAC